GACATTTTTTGTTATGTTCAGTGTATTTGATTCAAATTGCGAAAAAATCAATAAATAAATCTCTAATTAAGATAATGAACATAAAACAATCAATATATTGATTAGAATCGAATCACTTATTATCACTATTAGATTTTCACCTTATATTCGTTTTATACTTTGTGCTTAGATTTTTATATTTTCAATTAGATTCCATTTTTGTTGATTCAACTTTATCATTTGATCCTTGGTGTAATAACCACAGTTTTATTAATATTAATTTTTTTATTTTTGATTTCATTAATTTAATCCTTTATCTTACTTATTATTTTAATTTGTTTCATTTTTGGTCTTTATTTGATTTAATAATGCTTTTGTTAGTTTTAGGTTAATTTGCAATCAAAGATATTACAAGTGGTTTAGTATAATTTTCCAATTTATAATTCAATAATTAAAATCTTTTAAAACATTTTTGTAAAAATTTTAAAATCATTTTTTGTTTAAAAATAATCAAGTAAAAAAAATAATAATAAATTTATTCAATAAGTGATAATTTAATTTGACATTACATTATATACTGTATATTAAATCTTTTACATCAAAAATAAGGTTGTGATTAATATTCTGGAAAGTTTAAAGAATTATCATAAGGCAATAACATTTATTATGTAATATTTTAGGGGTTGGCAAAGAAAGGTCTCAATATATATGATGTAACATAAGATTTATATATTATGTGGAGCTTATAACAAATGGATATACCAATTTATAATTTATTTTTATTAGACCAAATATTACATACAAAACCCAATAAATAATAATAGCTAGTATGATATAAAATTTAATAATAAATTTAAATTAAACTAAATTCTTTGATTCTTATAAAAAAAAAATCATTCAGTATTATTTTCTTTATCTTGATTAATTTCATCAAGATCTACAAAATAAGCAAATTATAGTAAATATTTGCATGATAACTTACCTAATTCGTCTAATTGACAATCAAAACATTCCAAATCTATAAATTATATTAAAACAATATAAAGATTTATTAATATTATATTGATTGCCAATAGAAATAATTACTTACGTAATGTTGTTTTAGTAATGTCTATTAAAAAATAAAGTTATTAGTAATGTAAACATTTTTTTTTGGTTACCAAAGTTAAGTTTAAATTAAATTACCTGAATTTACTGGTTCTGTAAGATTTTTGAAATACTAGTATAGATTGCTTTTGAACGTTATTGGATCTTTTTTCACTTGTTAATATAAATAAATATGGTTTACCCTCGGGATTACATCATTATATAACATTATATATATAACCATCCATTATTATTAATGTTCTTCAACATGTGGGAATACGAGTTTTCATATTCATCTGATCATCTCTTACTTGATCGTCATGTGAGTCATGTGATGTAATTTATCCTATCACTTTCCACCCCACGTGATTTTTGTGGCAATTAAAATTTAATTGGTTAGTTTCGCGTATAAAATTTATCAGAGAAAAAAAAAAATCACAAAATAAAAAAAAACAAAAGAAAAAAAAGATAATTCCTTTGTTACTTTTACAACAAAAAAAAAATCAAATTACTCAAGCTAGCTTGACAAAAACTAATACACAGATAGTTTTACACTTGCTGTATAACATTATAAAAAAATCTTTTATTAGCTTAATTGCTTATTAATAAGAATTAGTGTTACCGGAAACTAAAAAAATCTTACTAAAAAAAACATTATTAGCTTAATAAGTTAATTGACAATTACCTATTAAAAAAAAATCCCAAAAAAGATGTATTTATCTATTGTACTATAATGTTATATTGTTATTAAAAAAGAAAAGTCTCAGAAAATTTTATTAAACTGGTCGGAAAAAAAAAATCCCCAAAAAATTTTATTATATCTATCTTTCAATTGGACATTTAGACATCTGGGTATCCAATTGTCCAATTGTCCAATTATGTCCAATTGGGTGTCTAATGTCCAATACTATTGTTATTAAAAAAACATCAGAAATTTTTTTTATAAATCTCTTTAAATGTAATCTATTGTTATAAAAAAAATTTATTAACTTACCTTATTAAGTTATCGGGAACTAAAAAAAAAATCTTACTAAAAATAACTAGGTAAAAAAGTTTAATAAAATAATAAAATAACCAACCCAACCTGATTATTTCGGGTCAGTGCAAAGGAGTTATCCTATTAAAATCATTTGAACAATAGAGATGATCGGCATTTATGCTAATCAAGTCACAACAAAAACCAACCTATAGGTTAGGCGCGGATGCAGTACATTACACAATTCAAAATTATTTATACAGAGAGTGACATTGAATTTTTTTAATTACACATCAAATTTGATGGTTTTTAATGTCTGGTTATTTTATAAAAAATTCAGTTATTTTCTGTCTTATTAAACAGACCAAGTTTTTTATTATTTAATAAGTTATTTCCATCTTACCTGACCTGAATTATTATTTCAGAATAACTTAAACAATTAAACCAATGTTTTTTAAACTATGTATTACAACTTAATAGATGAAACCAGATTTATTCAATTATAAAGCTCACTAACTGTACCTAAATTACCCTAGTTAGTATTTATGATAAAAACATAATCCTAAATAATAGATAAAGCAAAAACGTTAATTCGTTATAGAATTCCCAAAAAAACATTTATAATAAAACTATAACAATCAGCTAAAAAGCCTTTGAATTTTACAATGAAAATGCGATAAGAGTGATCCTAAATAATGAGAAATAAAATAAAACTTTATATTGTAGAAATCCCAAAAAAATTTGCTACAAAATAACTACAATAAAACGATCCGAAATAATATAAATAATATAATAAAGAAATTAATTTGAATAATTTATTAAAATACCAATGCAAGTTACTAACAAAAAAAAAAAATAAAATAAATTTGTTGAAATAACCTAACCTGTTCGTTCCTATAATGAAATCGATTATTTTTTCAATTCTTTCCTAATTTGTAAGTTGCTTAATTTTCTTTGTTCCTATTTTCTGCTCTGTATTTTCTTTTAAATATTTTCTATATCTCAAATATCCAAATTCACATCTAGATTTCCTATGTAAATAAAGAAATTTTTAAAAACTAATATCGCGAGAAGTGTTAGTAATGAATTTTCTAAGATTAGGTTCAACAATGATACTATTCCTCTATAACGGAAAATAGTGAATTGAAGAAATATTGGAGTAAGAGAAATTAATAGGTAATAAATTATAATTATGAGAGGAACGAGCTGATAACACAAATATTCCTCATGAATTTTACAATAGAAACATTCCTAAATGTAAATAAAGAAAGGATAAAAAATTATTAAATTGAAGAAAAACAATGTAAACCAACGTAATAACCCTTAGTTGCTTTGTCTTTCTGAATTTCACATAGAAACCATTCCTAAATAATAGAGAAAGAAAAAGAAAATTTTAATTTATTGTAAAAACTCCTAAATCATCATTACAAAACTTAACTAAGCAGTCATTCTTGCTGAAAACCACCATCCTCACAAAACAAAATTTACCTAATTACGCAATAGAAGCTATTATAAAAAAAAAAAATTTTTTATTTTTAAAATTCGATTTTTAACTTATCTCAACATAACTAGGGATGTTAAGTAGTTCGAAACAATTTTTGAAATTATTAAATACAGATGAGTCAAATTACTTTACTACAATTAAGTAACTTTACCTAAAAAATTGATGTCAATAAATTTAATTAATTGTCAATAAAGAAAAAATGGTCTCTAAAATGTGCAATTGCTTCGAACTACTTTAGAACCGAGCCAGTTTTGAACCCGGTTTCTAACAACTAAAAATATTGATTTGTCATTATAGACAAGTTGAATAGCTTAACTTCATTAATTAAACTAGGCTAAAAGATTATTATAAACGAGATTTATTAATATTATAATAAGAGAAAATGAGTGATACTTAAACCAAGCAATTTTCAATAAACTACTGTACTTCCGAGCTACTTAAGCAATTATCGATGTGCAGAACTCGTGATTTAAACTGTTAGTAAAAGGATTCTGTATAATTATTATAATTAGCGAAGAACGTGATCTAATTTACTAGCAAAGTTTAACTTCGGTTGGAATTAGTATAATTTCAGGCTATATTATTGAATATCTGTAAATCATGTGGCTACACTTAAAATAATACGGTATGACAAGTTTTGATGGCTCATTTGTTATTTCGCTCGCATTTGGCTCATTATTGTTATCAAAAGTATTAAAATATTTCTCGTAATTATATTGCTCAGGAATAAATACGGACTCTCACGTGCTGTGATCAAATCCAAAAATTTTTATTTTATTTGAATAAAAATGGAAAAAGCTAAAATTAACAAATTTAACAAGTCGAGAAGTCGAAGTTAAAAGCCTTGAACATAGAAAATCTTTTAATTTCATAATGATATTAAAATGCTCCGGTTTAAACACGGCAATTTTTTTTTTCTATAGTTTTTTTAACTTTTAGCTGTTTGCGATTCAATTGTCCTAATTTGATCTCATAAGTTTGACCCGTGATACGCGATTTAAATTTTTATCTGTTTTATCGTAACATGATCAGATAAAAATATTCCTATTTCTTTCTCTAAAAAAAATATCCCAAAATAATTTACTACAGTGGCATTTAATAATATCAAAGGAGCTGATTCTTTCTTGCCTACTAATATTTAAAACATTTTTTATTGCATATGAAAAAAAAAACATTATTATTTTTTTGTACCATATCATAAGAAAAAAATATTTGTAACTGTGTGATTGTATTTTTCACTACTTATAATTAAATTCGTAAACAAGAATTTTACAATTTGAAACTTCTCTTTCTCAAATAACTATAACAGCTATTTTAGAGACAATGGACTTCAAAGTTATTTAAAAGATTTGTGAACAGATACTTTCCAATTTCAAAAATCAAAAGTCATCGTGTAAAATATATGAAGTTAAAAAATATATTTTATTTCACCCAACTTATTAAATCACAAAATAATTAATTGTTTACAATATCAATATCTCTAATATAAGATTCATCATATTTTTGAACTTTAATATTATATAATTCAAATTCTTTTACTTCATCTTTCAAAGAAACTAAGTCTTGACAATTAATTAATATGGCTAAATATTTAACCCTTTTCTTTTTCATAATGTATTCTTTTATATAAGACAAAATATCTTTGTATCCCTCATGAAATTTGATTTTAATAAATAACCTTTTGATAAAAGTATCTTGAAAATTTTCTAAAAATATTTTCAAATAATTTGGTTTAATAAGATCTAATTTTAAAAATTCTAATTTAGAAGGAAGAATTTGTCCTAAATTTTTTAAATTTTTTGATTCGTAGTAACCATAATAATCATAAAATCTTATATTAAGATAATTAAGACTTTGTTTTTTAATATTTTCAATTAGATTAAGTGCTAGATTAATATTAATATCTCTTAATGAAAAATATTTAATTTTTGTACAATATTCTATAATTGATTCGAATAATTTTTGTCTTTTTTGTTTTGATTTACCATGTAAAAGGCCTTTACTAAATTCAAAATTTTCTAAATCACTACCAAATTTTTGTATTAACAATTGTAATGATTCAACTTGAAAATGATACTTTAGGATCAAAGATTTTAATTTAAATGGCCTAATAACATTAATAATTTGTTGAACAAAATCAGAATTTAAAGAATAACAATAAATAATATGAATAGTTTCTAAAACATTCAATTGATTGAATATTTCTTGAATATTATTAATTATTTCCTCAAAATCAACTCTATAGAATGTAATTATTTTCAAAGTATTTGAGATATTGGTTAATAATGAAAACGAATCGTATAAAGAGTTATAGCATTCAAATGAAATTTTTTCGATACTCTGTTGTGTATTAAACATTTGTGTCAAACATTTTTCAATTAAGGTGTTATCACCGTCTTTATATCCATAACCAATATAAAATGATGAGATTGAATTACAATTAAAACATAAAAATTTTAGTAAAGGAAACATATTTATATAAATATTTGTAGCACTCATAGAAAACTTTAAATTTCTAATATTGCAAGTAAAATTTGGATTTTGTAAAGTTAATTCCATAGTAACTTTAAGATAATTAAAATCAAGAACTGTATGATATTCAAATTCAAAAGAATGTAAATTTCCTTCATTTTCAATAAACATTTTAAATAATGATCTATAAACTAATATTGTCCAACAATCCATTAAAGCTGGGTGCCAATTTCCAATAGAACGAAAAATTTTATTTGTATTTAAACGTTTAATAAAACTAGGATAATTGAATAATGTACTTGAACAATTTTTTGCTATTAAATTCCGATCCACTAAATGTTGTTTTGCATCCTCATTTAAATTACCTAAATAAATTTCAATAAATTGAAAATTTTGGGCGTAAATTGAAAATGGATCTTCCCATAACAATGGAATTGCTAAGCGACACCATAATCTGTTGACTAAAATGCATGAATACAATGTTGAAAAATCATTCCTAAAATACTTTATAATTTCACATATTAATTCAGGTAAATTTCCTAATTCAGAATTTCCTGAAAATAATTTTGAGTATGTCATGTTTGTGAAGAAGAAATGAGTATATATTATATATTTAAGTATATTCAAAGGAGAAGTTTGTTAGATTGTTTGCATAATTTTGTCGACTATTTATAGTCGATATGTGAATACGCATCACAGCTTTATTGTTTGTAAATAATAATATACATAATGTTAATTGCACATGATTTAATGTATATCAGTTTTAAACATTCATTTTTCTCATTAAAAATTCCTAAATTATCTGAAAACTTTCATCTTAATTATTGCTTTAAGTTTTATAAGTTTAAATAGTATATAAGTCTATAGCAAATTTTTATATAGTGAATAACTTGCTATAATGAAGAAAAGTTCGTGAATTTCTCACTATAACGAATTTTAAGGGTGAACTGTACTATGTTTGTTTCAGTGTTTAACAAATTAACAAATGACTTGTAGTGACAAATTATTCAAAATCTCAAATGACAAATGATGAGTCATTTGAGATCAATGTTGACCAGAACTATACTTTACTTTGAAAGAAGTTTCAAACAATACATAATAATTTAATCCAAAACTCAAAGAAACCAGAATAAACTTAACTATTGCAAGTGTTAAAGCGTAATTATTAGAGAAAGAACACTTTGTATTTATTAGATTGATAAAAAAGATTTTTTTATTATTCCAATATACACAATAATGAAAATAATGGTAATAAAAATTATTTAATATAAAAAAAAGAAAATAATTTGTGTAAATAAAAATAATAATATAAAAGAAAAACAAACCAAATGAAAGAGCAAAACCAAATGAAAGAGCAGTGTAATAAGAGAGTGAGCGTAGCGTTTATTTCGTGTGAAAAAAAAAATGGTAAACAAATGATGATCAACTGTGCCACAAGGTCTAAGATAAGAGGTATGACACCCCCCGGGTCTAGGATAAGAAGCCTAAACCCCCGGTCCAGGTTACGTTTTCTCTTTTAAAATTTGATGTACAAGAATCTAAAATTTATTTTACCATATTAAAACGTGAAAAATACTATTATATGTTTGGTCGAGCGATATAATAAGAGAGCCCTATAAAAAATCTGTATACGTTTTTAATATGTTTTTATATAGGAAAAAACGTATTTATTATATGTAATAAACACATAATTAACGTATAATAAGCGTACAATATTATATTGAAAGAAAAAGATACGTGATACGGAAATCTGTATTACAAAATTACGTTTTATATACGTTTTGTATGCTGAATATTGGAATAAACACGTTTTATCAGTATGTTATACACATATAATTATACATTATTATACAGAATTTATACGATTTCAATACATTTTTTAAACACTAAATTATATTTATAAATTATATTTAGTTATAATAATACACTTTATTAAGTCAAATATAAATAAAAAACAAATATATTATAAATAAACAAAAAAAAGAAATGTAAGAACGTTTCTTTTACTCAATTAAAAGCCAAACTTCCTCCTATATAGTATCTACAGTAATTAAAGCCCGGTAACCTAAAAAAGAAAAAAAGAAATGTTACTACGTTCCTTTAACATAAATGAAATGTCAACTCCCCACTATTTAATACTTACAAGTAATTCCAGGATCGTACAAGTCTCAAAGAGCCGATGTTCCTAAAAAAGAAGCTCAGCATCATATAAAAAGAAGGAAGTCGAACCACACTAGAAAAAAAAAGAGAATTCCAAACCGTCCTAGAAAAAAGAGTTCGAATCACCTACAAAAAAGAATTCGAACACCTTACAAAAAAAGAAAGAGAAATCTGAAATGTCCTACAAAAAAAGAAACCTGAAGAGTCTCACAAAAAAAGTGATCAATCCCGCCCTACAAAAAAAGAAAAAAGAAATTCTAAATGTCCTACAAAAAAAAGTCCTTGGCATCCTACAATAAAAGAAGAGAAATTCCAGCGACTTACAAATAAAGAGTCCAATGTAATATGTAATATAAAAAAAGAACTAAAAATTTTTTTTAAAAGACTTCTAAAAAGGGGGAACTGGGGAAGACAAAACAACGAGGTGGAAATAAAGAAATTTTTTTTTTTTTCCAAAGGGGAACGAAATGAAAATAAAAAAAAGAAACTTTTTAAGAAAAAAGAAGGAACGAGGTGGAAATAAGAAAAAGAAAAAAAATTTAATAAACAATCACGTGGTCACATGCTATGATACGGAATGATGATAAAATTATTTTTAAAAAATGAATAAATTCCGTATCACAATATTCATTCCGTATACATTGAATTTTTTTAAAAACCTTCAAAAATGAATTGAATATGAAATATGATACGGAATAATATATAAAACGTATATAAAACGTATCATTTCCGTATATAGATTTCTTATAGGGCGAAACATAATATATAAAGTAATTAGAAGATAATAAAATAGAGTAATTAGAAGTGTAAAATAAACATTCCTACACCAATAACAAAATACGTGCGGGTTACAGTAACCAATTTTTTTTAAGCAAAGAATGAAAAATTACCACATAAAGAAAAAAAAATTGACATCATAGTAAATAATCTAAACAATATGATCTACAAAAACTATTGTCAGTAGTTTAATCCCTCCTATTAAACATTATTCAAAAATATATTTTCAAATGATAGAAACGAATGCAATTTGATATTTACTGTGCGACAATAATGATATCATTATTTATTTTTTATCAAATTCAGGAAATTGTGAACATGTTTAGTTCCTATATTAGATTCTGTTAGTTTTCATACTTAGCAATGATTTTATTAGCGATTTAAAACGGGAAAATAATACTATAGTAATTATTCTTTTTATCGAAAGTTTCTATTATAATCGTATATCATAATCGATTTACAAATAAAGAATATAGTTTGTGTTTGTGATAATAATACAACGAAAAAAAATTGTTTGTGTTTATGTAAAGAACGAAATATGTAAATAAAAAATAAAAATAGCACGAAAATATAAAACTTATGAGTTTAAACATACATAAGTAATTTCTTAAATTCTTAATTATTCTTAATGCTTATTTAATCATTTAATTAATTTGACTGCACAAATTAATATACCCTTCCTTATTATCTCGAGACGCATTTTTCCACAAATCTCTTGCGACTTTGTTGACGGCCACCTTGCTATGTGCACTCGTTTGAAAAATGATGAAAAGTTTAAATAGACCATAGCCAGTTATGCGTCGTTCTCCCCGAGAACATTTTCGTCTAAATCGTGCGGTTATAACTCTAGGGATAGTGTTTGGAGCAGGGAACAGAGGAGGTCCGTTTGCAATTTCTTGGCTGAGTGCATCAACATCTTCATTAATATTAATATTCATATCGTTATATAATAATGTCTATGGATATTTATAATATAAGAAAAGGAAAGTTCTTTGTATATATATATAAATTTTTTTGTTTTTTTTAAATATATACAATTTTTTTTTATTTTTTTTTGTTTTAATTTTTTTTTTTTGTTTTTCTTTTTACGCACAACATAAAATCTTCGAATTCTGTCATATTTATATAAAATGCTTCAATTTGTTTTTCTCTACATGCGTGTTTTATGAAATATTACTAGCAATCTCTTAATAATCAGTACAATAAAAGCATTATTAATAATTTATTGTTATTAATATTGCGCATTTATATTAGTAACAATCAATTGATAATTAAAATTTTAAACACAATACCGTAAGTCCGTAACTGGTTTGACTTATTCTATAATTTGCACGTGCAAATATTAACGCGTAATCGTGTAAGATTTTTATTTTCAATTTTCATGGTGTGACTTGATTTTAAGGAGTTTAAAATATATATATCACAAATTTGCCAATTTATTTCATATCATTGTAAAAAAAAAAAAAAAAATTACCCGAATGTTTGCATAATTGGCAAAAACCAATTGAAATTGTAAATTCCTGCAAATTACGGGAAAATACTTAATTGGGCTTAACCAAAATTGCCTAATCAAATAAGACATCTTAATTAGTGAATTTTTGATTATAAAATTATAATGTTGTACTATTTTTAATTTCTGATCAGTAATTCATTACCTCCTTAATTAATTTTTTTAAAATTTATTCCGTAATGTGACGAATTCGCAGATTATAACTACAAATAATAAGTCCCACGATAAATCATCACTGATATTGATAATCATGTTGATATCGTTGGCGCGCGTATAGGATAAAATTAAATTCAATTAGACCACAATTATGACTCATATGACTAACAAACTGTTGATCCGTTTAGCGAGTCTTTAAGGAAATACAGAAACATGGTATAAACATCCACATAAATGTTTTTCAGGAACAATCAAACGTAAATATATATTATCTGTATGTTTGTCAAATTAATATTGTTTTTGGATTTCATCTTTTTAACCGATTTTGTAATGGAGCGTAGATTCTAATATTCTATGAATTGACTTATACATATAGCCTTCACAGAAATACCGAAATTGTGCCTAAAATTTCCTTGCATATTTTCTTTGAGGAAATTTACATTTTATGCATATAAAAATACATCTACACTCGCTTATTCTGGAAAGTGGGAACATAATTTTTCTCATGAAAAAAAAAAAAATAATAATAACTTTTTAAATATTATATTTAATATATAGTAATCGAATACTTTGCGACAATAAATGGCACATATGATGTAATTTTATTGATTTTATAGATAAAAAATTTTAAAATTTTTTAAAAAACATCTCGAATATTATAGCACTTTTCAGAATTTGCTATCTCTTATATGAACTACCTAATAAAAAAGATTATTAGATTATCAGATTATTAAATTATTACTTAGATTACTAGACAGTTATTGGTTATAATCTCTGATAATCTATAATTTTTTGGGGGAGTAATTTATACAGGGGGTAACAGAATTTTGAAAAGTACAATAATAATGGAAAAAAAAAAAAAAAAAAAAACA